AAGGGAGGAATGTTTAAAAAAAAAAAAAAACTTAAAATGGGATTGTGCTTATGAGTTAATATGTATAAGGTACAGGTATTACTATACTTACTCAAACCTAATGCACACTGTTTTTGGAAATAAAGTTTTGTAAATGTGATTAGATTCGATGGTGCATTACATTCTGGGCAAAATTCAAAATTTGCCGGCGAATTGCATTCCGGCGATGTGACACAGACAAATTAAAACTGGTGAATTTAAAAAAGTGAACTCACACAGGTTAAATCAGACAGGCAAATTCATACAGGCAAATTCAAAAGGTAAATTTCATTCCGACGAATTCAAATAGGCAAATTATTTTCCTAAATGAGGGTTTAAGAAAGAAAAGACAAAATGTAAGACTAAAATTGAAATACCATCAATGTTACTATGGTATATGGCAATAAACATTTTCATTGTAGCACAATATGGTATAGTAGTATCTACTTGTATAAATGCGCATTACATTCACCAGCAAAAACTTTTTTCAGCTTCCAGATTTCTAAAATTGAGGTGAGCATTAGATTCGATGGCGCAGTAAATTTGCATAAATGTGGTAAGAAGAAGCCCCCAATCTCCAAAATAACAATACCAAACAACATATTAATTCCGCACTCCAAAATTTTAGTATTTTATTATAAACTAATAGGTACTACTGAAGCACATAGAGAAAATATAGAGAGCACGTTAAAAAAAACATAAAATCCAGCACATGTAGACACTTTAGATGCACACAAAAGGTCTATGCAAATTGTCCACTTCAAGATAGTGATGCATATATCAATATACTGTGTGTCTCCGAAATCAAATTCATGACTGCTAAGAATATTCTAAGCCAAAATTGAAAATAAATAAATAAAATGAAAAAAATATCCATCTCATATACAAAAAGTATAAAATGTACATAAAAAAAGATTTTATTTCTTGAAATATTTTTCTTACATGACAAACTAGACATCATGCAAGCTGTAACATTACGATATCTATTCATATTTACATATCTCCTACGCAGAGATTCTAGCAGAGACCCTGACTGCTTCCCCCTAATTGTATAACAACAGAATTTAGTTGATGTCTGCTAACTCTCTGTTTATTATTTTGTAATAATGGCCTTTCACACACAACAGAGAGAACAGACGTCGGTTCCCAAATGAATATGCATAGACGCTCCTTCGTGCTTGAAGTAAAAACATTTGGTGAATATTTTTTTACTGTTATCTGCTGATTTACAAATAGGAAATGTAATGTAAAAGATTAAGGTCTAGTATGAAGGAGAGACAACTTTTTATACCACAAGGTTGTTATCTTTAACTGCTTATATGACTTTGTACTTTGTCAAGTAGGCAATATACAGTTGCAATCAACATTATTCAACCTCCACTGAAAATCAGGTTTATTGTAAAAATGTACAGTTTTAGTTGTTTGCAATGAATCTTTAGTACTTAGAAGAACACCCTTTTGCTATTATAAACTGCTAAAAATGAGATGCGTAACCAGACACCAGTGTTTTTCTTAGCCCATTGTTAATGAGCAATGGCCTCCAGTTCAGTCATATTCTTGGGTTTGGGTGCTGCAACCGCCTTCTTCAAATCCCACCAGAGATTTCCAAGTTCAAGTCAGGTAACTGTGAGGACCACTGTAGAATATTACATGACTTCCTCTGTAACCAAGTCTTAGTGGAACTTAAGGTATGCACGAGGCATTGTTTTGTTGGAAGGTCCAATGACGCCAAAGCATAGCTTCCTCACAGACGGCATGACATTTTCTCCTAGATTTTCTAGTACGTCAATTAAACTATTTTGCCTTTTACATCCTACAGGTTACCATTGCCAGAGGATGCAAAGCAGGTCCAGTGCATCACTGAGCCACCACCATGCTTAACTGTAGGCAGAGTGTTCTTTCCACTTCATTCTTTTTCCTCCAGACATAACTCTAATTCACTGGCACAAAAAGGTCCAGTTTTTTTTCATCGCTCCACAGAAAAGAATCCTAAAACTTCTGTGGCTTATTTATATGAATTTGAGCATATTGGAGCCGACTACTTTGGACTTTTGGGTTGGAAGTGGTGTATGTCTGCTGTGGTGTGACAGGTGTGAATTCTGGCATTGAAATCATCTGCATTTAGTATGTTCCTTACTGTATTTAATAAAACTGCCTGTTGCCACCAAATCTTGCTGCAGGTCTTTTGCAGTCACTTAAGGGATTTTTACAACCTGCGTTCTCAGAAATGTGATTGCAGTCCTTGATAGCTTCTTTTGTTCTGCCCTGTCCAGGTAGTTTAACCACTGTTCCTTCAACTTTAAACTTGTGAAATATGCTTCCAATGGTGTCTCTAGAAACACACACATACATGTATATATAACATAAAGAAAGCCTGGCACTCACCTCATACGAAAAAAATATTCAATGGATACCCTGGTGCAAATCCACGTAAAATAGATAATTCAAAAGTTAAGTTTTTCTCGTGAATCACTGTGTTATTTTAATAAATTACAAAAACTTATACAAAGTCTCGATCAACGTTTTGACCCGAAGTGGGAGAAAGACTTTGTATATGTTTTTCTAATTCATTAAAATAACACAGTGATTCACACAAAATCTGTGGAGTGCATCCTAACTTGTGAATTATATATATACATATTTGTGTTAAGGTGGTAGCCTGGAATTGTGGGAGGGATTACCTTGCCTTTTAACCTCAGGTTGCCTTCTCCTCTGGGCTGCTGCCACTCAGTTTGCACCTTTTATGTCATTGCCATGGATACCAGGCAACTTCCGGTTCTGGATCTCGATTGCTTTTGCAGCCTCTAAGGCACACTGTGAGTAGGGAGCAACCATATGTATGGCATTGTGTCATAGGCTTTCTTGTAGTCAATCCAGGCTTTGCACAGATTGGTCTGCCTTATCTTAGAATACTGTGTGATGGCTTGGGTCTTGGAGGCTGTGAGGCCTGACATGACCTTCCATGCTGTGTGGAGGCAGATGATTGGTCAGTAGTTAAATGGTGTTGTTCCTTTGTGAGGACCCTTCATGACCAGTATTCTTCTGCCCTGTGTTAGCCAGTCAAGGTGGGAGTTTGTTTCTAGTTCACTGGTTCATTGTTGCTGTTAGGGGCTCATACAGCATTCATTTCTTGATTCAGTAGATATGAATCATGTCAGGTGTGGGACTGGCCAACTATTCATATGGGCTCCTCACTGGGTATCACCTACACCTAGAAAAGGAACCATCACAATCACAGTGGGATATAGATATATTTGTGTCTGTGTGTATATGAATGTGTGTATGTGTCAATGTTTTTTATGTGTCTGTGTGTTAATTTGTTTGTGTATGTATGTACATGGCAGTATATGTGCATACATCCCAGCAAACACCAACACAACATGCAAACACACTCCTGCAAACACAAACATTTCATACAAAAAACCCTGGATTCCAATTTATATACAAACACTCAAACACAACTTTCACTCAAACACTAATACTACACAAAATTTTACATCTGCATTTAAAAGCCAACACTAGATCCAAGCACATCCCTGCACGCAAATGCAAACATTACATACAAATGCACCCCTGTATCAAAACTCTTACATTATATACAAACATCAACTGTACACACAAAAGCACACCTGCTCCTAAGTACTACTATCTGTTTACTACCTGGGCTACAGCGCCAACATTTTTTGGGGGCTCCACGTTGTTAGTGCATTATGTCAAAGGGTTCCACAGTGTAATAAGTGGGGGGATGTGATTAACGGCCAAACTGTATGCCAATGAAGTGTTATTGTGTTCTAATACAGGGATTCAAGCCCCCATTCTACCCTTAGGCAATAATGGAGTCCTCTGTGAAGCACATGGCCTTTCACCAGGTAAAATCAGTTGGGTTGTTGATAAACTCCTCCTCCATTCCCTTCCAATGCAATCCCCCTTCCCCCTGGAGGCACTCTGGTTCTGTTACATCCTAAGGGATTGACTAAGGGAGGTGTGTCCAGCAGAAGGAGGGGCTAACCTGTTTAAAGCCCTGTGAATAGCACATTTCTCTCTCTTTGAATTACCTCTCTTCACCCTCTATCTCTCTCTCCCCTCTCCCCACTATACACACCCTCTCTCTCTTACTCTCAGCTGCTGATCAATGGAGTGGTAACTGTATCACGTGTCTATGCCTGTTCTACTATGTTAATTTAGCCTACTTTCCATTCAGTCAATGATTAGTTTTAGTAGCAATATATACTAGCCTATTTCAAATGTATATGTATTGTTTATTTGTTTGATTAGCCTTTATTAATAAATATTATTGAATTGCCGAAAGCAAGGAGTGTGGACTCTGACTTTACACTCGGTTTTTAAGTTATTATTTTAAGTTATTATTTTTAGTTATTAATGTTATTATTAATTCCAAGTTTATTCCAACTTGCGAGTTAAACGTTTATTACATTTGGCGAGCCATGTTATTATTTTCTACCACCTTTTAAGCTCACTTGCAAGGGGGGAACAATCCAGTCTTCTCCAGATACATGTGAGCTATAAAAGGGGACAAAATAACCGAACCAATTTTTGTTTTATTTTTTGTGAGCGTTTTCGGCAATACGTCCAGGGCCAGGACGTGCGGGATCCTACAGAGGCAACCAGAGTGAGACGCAGTTTGTAAGCCGGCCATCACTTCTGGAGGATCGGAGATAGCCAGACCAAGGATTCAAAGTGGGGTGCACACCATTTGATTTGCCTGCAGTCTGAAGACACAAATCGTGTAAGTACTTTTAACTTTATTTTAAGAATGGAAATTGTAGCAGAGTATGCAGCGTCTAGCAGTTTTGATCCACTAATGTTTGAAAATGAAAATGAATTTAAGAAAATGCATAGCATGTGGTTACAATGCGAAAAAGAGAATGTGAGAGTAGATAATAAAAAATGGTGTTTGAATAAGGATAAACAGAAAATCCAAAATTGCATGAAATTGTTGCTGTTATTAAGAAATCAATTAAATCGGATACTTTTGGGGCACACTACTGTGGCTTGTATACAAAGTAGTACTCAGAAATATAGTGATTGTCCAACTTGTGGCTTAAATGCAGAATATGTAAGTACATTAGAGGACAATTATGAAGCGAGAGGAGAGCTAATTTCATCGCTTAGAACAGGTTTAGCTGCACAAACCCCAGTTGCTGTATGTGGCCATGGGGATATGTGTGCAGAGGAAGAAGAGGCATCTGGTATTGCAGAAAATGAGGACCAAGGGGTAAACAGGGAAAACCTTGTACTGGATGGGTTTGATATTAGTGGTATTCCGGTATTAACCCCCCATATTACTAAACCAATAGCATCACCTTTTAGGGACCCTTTGTCCATTACACCGACTGTTAAAAGCAGGGCATCTGCCACCCTGCAGACTGCTAAAATTCTGCAGCAGCAAGATAGGGATAAAGTAATGAAACAGCTTGTTAAGTTAAGATCCCTTTTCCCCCCATATGACTGCAAAATAGATGTAATTTCAAACATGTCCAACTTTGAATCTGCAGTCAAACAATATATGCTCTCTCCTAAAGAGGCATGTATTATGCTTAAAATGTGGGCACCAAGCAGCATTGCATGCAGATTAAATTCCCCCATAAATGGGCCCATTAATCGGGATCAAGACTGGTTCAAAGAAGACAAATGGGGGACAGAAGGAGACAGGCTTAGAGCAATCTCCAAATTGATTACCGGAGAAAGAGATTTAGACAGTCATTTACTCGCTGAAATGAAGGTAGACTTACAGGATGATCCTTGGCTTTTTGCATCTAAATTTGAACAAGTGTACAGATTAACCCACCGTATACCACAAGACCAAACCCCTCCTGATTTACTGCAATACCTGATAAAAAAATTCACTTATTTAGATCCCGGAGTGCAAATGATAGCAGAGGAAAAAGACACTCTGGAAGGAGTTCTAACTATTATAGGAAAAGCTAGACAAAATTTAATTAGGAAAGGTGTTACATTACACCACAAGGTGTCAATTATGGCTACTAATGAAGGGAGGCAAGCTCTCCCAGAGATTCCATTCAGAGGTACTTGTTATTATTGCAACAAAAGTGGTCATAGACAAAAAAATTGTAGAAAGGCAAAGATAGATCAAAGGATGACTGAGGGATGGCATGCTTATTCCTCTGGGCCTTTCAAAGAAAGAATAGGTCAAAATGTATATGAAAAGATTGACCGAAATAAACCCCCGGATAAAACAGGTCAGGGACGCCATTCTCACCCCCTGCCTAAGACCAATCTATACGGTCCTGCGCGGGAGGCTCTGAGAATGATGACTGTACAGGGAACAGTGACTAGCAATTCTAAAATGAATGAAGAGGGTGAAGTTCCTCTGATTTCATTTTTGGAATAACTATAACTGGATGGCATGGTTCCTATTTGTAACACATTTATGGACCATGCAGGACGCCCTTACGTGAATGAAATTATGGCAAGGCAACAGACTAAGAATTGGACTAACACAGGAGCTTCAGTGAGACTTACTGACCTATCACTAAGTCTCCCTTCTGGGGCAAAACAATAACATATGAATTTATTAATGGAATTTTTTTTTACTTAATTGCATAATCCTGGAGGCAAGCTAAACACTTCAAAGGTTGCTCACACAAAAGGTAAAATTTTTGGGAGTAGCTATCACAGCTGCCCAATTAAAGAGTGATAGCAATCTTACAAGTCCCCAGACCTTTTAACAAACAATCCTTGAAGACATTTTTTGGGACTTGTACATTTTTCAAAGGAATTTGGCACACGCCCTATTTGTATCAATAGTGACATTGCTTATGCCACCAGATCAAACCATCTGTCCAAATGGAATCTTGGGAAACTGGTTGGATGGGGACTAAAGCACCCCCTCCAGTCAGCAGTAAACACTCATTCAAAGGTACAATTGAATTTGTTAGCAAAGGATAGATGGAGATCAATGGCATTTACATGTAAAAGACCCTGAGGTACAGCATGGGAGGAACACTTCACATGCAAAGAACTAATTACTGATAGCCAAGATTGTTGATCAAGGTTCAGAAGTGCCAGATTTAAAAGCAGAACTGAATAGGAATCCTAATCTTTCTCTTTTATTACAGAACCATCAAACACTTCAAGTGGTTATTCTATAAAAGAAGGGTTGTTATGTTAAATTATATCCATGCCCTAAGCAACAAAGGCCTATGCATCAGAGAGTGCCAGTTGCAGACAGCCCCTGGAAGTCAATACAGAATGATTTCATAGGTGCACTTACACTGTCCAAGGGGGGTCTCATATATGGCCCCAACAAATTGTAAAATTGTGTCTACTCCTCAAACTCTGTTTGAGAAAGGGGGGGTAGGCGTAATAAAGATTAAACATTTTATCAAAATTATCCCTGGGATGCAAATTGGGAAGAGCCCTATGTAATCCTATAAGTCAGTCCATGTAGACCAACGTAAATTATATAAAGGGGCTTGTTCCCCAGGTACAGAGTTATCTGCTAAGAACTGATACGCCTTCTTGATCTCTTACAGATTTTTCCAAAAGTACCGAGACATGGATGTTACTCAACATGCTAAAACTCACAATTGATGGAACAGCTTATCACAGGCCAAAGCAACAACAGCTGTATCTATGCAAATGCAGCTCGATCTACCAGCAGTGACAATCTACAAGTTCCATATGTAGATGTGACATTTAATTTTGGGTGGGCGGTCAAGATTGTTTGGCTAAAGCAACGTGATTCTTTCAAGGGATTTTGGAAAAGACAATAAGGGAAATTAAGAACATTGGGAATGTATATGGACTGGCTGAGGAAAATGGGAATGTATATGGTCTGGTTGAGGAAAATGGGAATGAATATGGACTGGTTGGGGAAAACTGGTTGTAGATATGGAGGGAGGAAATATTAATATGAAATGAAATGTTATGAAATGTTACTAACCCTAGTTATAATGTTAATAACAATCTTAGAGAGTATCATATAACACTAATTATAGTGGATACATTAATCATAAAGGGGATAAATTGGGGAACAGTAAGACACAATAGGGGTGGGGAAGTGAAGGTCTTGTTGAATGTAGAGGAAGAGATAGAGTCTACAATCCTGACTCCTCCTTTCACCTATATTCATACAACTCCTTCACTAATGGATAATGGTAGCAGACCTGAGTGTCAGAAGATTAGAGTGGTCTCTAGTGGTAATTTCCAAATATGTTCACTGAGACCTATCCCTATAGTTGTTACTTTCCAATTGATTCGACTAACAGATTGGCTAGTTTCATCACACTTTCAGAACTGTTCTAGGGTCACATCCACTATTAATAAGGTTTTAGTCAGATGGGTGACAAGAAGTAGAACTAGGAATAGGAGGGTTGTCTTGGGTACGGTTCTGGGAGGTGTGGGTACTGGGTTGGGTTTTGTAAATATAATTGATATATATAGTATGACTGCAATACTCCAGTCTGAGGGTGTTAAATTCAGAGAACTATCAATACTTTAATGGAGGATTGGACACAGAAGGATCAACAAACCTGTGCTGAGTTCTTTCATCAACAACAAGAACTTTAACTAACTGAACATTTATTTACTGACATGGCTAGTACTACCTGGTGGAAGAAATAAAAAAAATAAAAACTCACTTCCGAAACCAATCATCATGGGGTACTGCCATGGAAAATGTATTAATTCACCCATTTATTATTGTATTGTGTGTTTTCTATAGTATGCATTTTTAATCAGGTTGGTATGTGTTGTTACTTGAAGTCATTGATTGTTAGAGTATATCATCTCCAATATGATATGTAAATGGAAAGAGCTCTATTGTGACAATGGGTTGTGCATTCACATAAGTAGATACACTGCAGGATGCATTATCTCTCTCTCTTATCTCTGGTGGGTTTTATAGAGTCTAAGTGTCTCATCCACTTAATTGCCAATAGGAGGGATGTAATAAGTGGGGGGATGTGATTAACGGCCAAACTGTATGCCAATGAAGTGTTATTGTGTTCTAATACAGGGATTCAAGCCCCCATTCTACCCTTAGGCAATAATGGAGTCCTCTGTGAAGCACATGGCCTTTCACCAGGCAAAATCAGTTGGGTTGTTGATAAACTCCTCCTCCATTCCCTTCCAATGCAATACCCCTTCCCCCAGGAGGCACTCTGGTTCTGTTACATCCTAAGGGATTGACTAAGGGAGGTGTGTCCAGCAGAAGGAGGGACTAACCTGTTTAAAGCCCTGTGAATAGCACATTCTCTCTCTCTTTGAATTACCTCTCTTCACCTTCTCTCTCCTCTCTCCCCTCTCCCCACTATACACACCCTCTCTCTCTTACTCTCAGCTGCTGATCAATGGAGTGGTAACTGTATCACGTGTCTATGCCTGTTTTATTATGTTAATTTAGCCTACTTTCCATTCAGTCAATGATTAGTTTTAGTAGCAATATATACTAGCCTATTTCAAATGTATATGTATTGTTTATTTGTTTGATTAGCCTTTATTAATAAATATTATTGAATTGCCGAAAGCAAGGAGTGTGGACTCTGACTTTACACTCGGTTTTTAAGTTATTATTTTTAGTTATTAATGTTATTATTAATTCCAAGTTTATTCCAACTTGCGAGTTAAATGTTTATTACACACAGGAAAAAATAATTTGGAACCCCTGGTCTAGAGGCTGGATAGCAGGTATAACACAGCTGGTTGGTGCAGTGGCTGGATAACAGGTATAACTTGCTGGTGTAGTGGCTGGATAGCAGGTATAGCAGCTCATTAGTGCAGTGGCTCGATAGGAGGTATAACACAGCTCATTTGTGTAGTGGCTGGATAGCAAGTATAACACAACTCGTTAGTGTATTGTCTGTGTAGCACATATAACACAGCTAGTTGGTGTAGTGGCTAGATAGCAGGTATAACACAGCTTGTTGGTGTAGTGGCTAGTTAGCACGTATAACATAGCTCATTAGTGTATTGTCTGGATAGCAGGTATAACACAGCTAGTTGGTGTAGTGGCTAGATAGCAGGTGTAACACAGCTAGTTGGTGTAGTGGCTAGATAGCAGGTGTAACACTGCTCGTATTATCTTGACCAAGCATTTGACAATTAAAGCACATCCCCTGAGAGATGTTGACAGTGGCTGATGTTTTCCTGACTTTGTTGAAACATACCTGAAGGCCCTTCCAGCTGGTAGAATGTAGCCTTTACATTCATTATTAAAATATAAATAACACAATTATGTCATGTGCTCTGCTGCGGTAATTTTTTATATCGATCCTGTCACATAGGAAATTGTCCTTTGTAATATACTGCTGAGAGCTCACAAGTAAATGACTTTAAAAAAAAAAAAAAAATTAAAAATGTATTGAAAACAAATGTAATTTATAAATCAAATATCACTTGCAGTAAAGTCCATCTCGCTGAAAGACAATTTACACAGAAGAACTTGTTTTAATTGAATATGAGCATTTACTTAAATAAATATAATGATAATATTGAATATATTGAAATTGAATCATGTAAAGTCTAATTACAGAAAGGCCCAGATTGACATGTTTGTTTACTGGCTAAAATCTGCTTTGGAGAGATGTGCATCATGGTGTGTCTGGGAGTCAAAGTGTTAACACAAGTCTCAAAAAACAGAGAAGCCACTGACACTTCATGCTAAGTAGCACTTTATCACAAAACACTATCTTATACTCCAATTGCAAATTCAAAGCACATTGCTTTCTTGTTGAAATGGTCTCCATTTCACCTCTGGAACACAATGACCTTGGGCATCCTTGGTAATATTAAGTTCTGAAACTCACAGAATATACTTAACCCCTTTCACTACTGAGTGGTTTGTATTTGAGAATGTATAGCTTGCAAATAAACATAGCAGAAAACAGCAATGTTTAGGAATACCTAAAATAAAAATTTATTATTTTTCACTCATTCCTTATCGGTGGGGATAATACAAGTTAGAGATTATACATTGTAGCATATATTATGCAGATTATAGAAAAACACTTATTTTGCAATAATCAAGTCACAACCTCAGACAGTGGAAAGGAACCTTCAGTACTCCAGGTGTTGTGACTACATCACCCATAATGCTCTAACAGTTATAGTGCTGGCAAAGAATCAGGGGGAAAGCATTTCACAGCATTTGGAATGCTGAAGTTTATCTACGCATCTTCTAAGATATTAGCAGATAAGAACAGATGATATTTGTGTTGCATACTGATTAGTTTTTATACAACTAAAAATGGACAATTCCCTGTGGGTAAATGTCTTGAAAGGATGCCTCGGGAATAGAAAAAGATTGCCTGTTACGTTATGCAGGGATACCCTTTCAGGTGCTAGACTGTAGCTCTTTACATTGGAAGCCTCTTGGGCTACGGTGTATTATTGACAATTATGGGAGTTCTTTGTCAGTCCCCGTGCAATGGTTTAAACAGGGTTAATAATTACATATGTAATTACATATATTATTGTGTAATATACACATGTAAATAAATAGCACTATGTTATACTTTTTTTTCAATGTGAGTTTATATACAATACTTCAGCCTATTTCATATTGAATATGCTGTATTGTCTCCTATACAAACATATCAAAATTGAAAATAACTCTATGTAATAAGATGTGTAAATCTTGCAGCTTGAGAGCAGATTTATGATGACTTTTATACTTTATTACGTTGGTAACCATGTTCTGTTGTATGTAATCAGCAGTTGCAAATGTGGTTCTAACAGTGAAGCAATCAGTTAGAATACTCCACTGGTTTCCATGATAACTGGGACATTTCTAAAACTTTATCCCAGGCTGGGTCTTTCCTACTTAGACTATATCTTTAAACTTCTTTATATTATCTTTCATTGATCTTCACATCGAGAAATCCTTAGCTGTAGCTCTCTCATTCCCTTTTGGTATTCATGCATAGCCATGTCTTGGGTTATATTTTTCTAGATTTGATATGTTTCTATGTTATGATGCTATAGCAAATAGCATTATTTTTGTTATGTTAGCACAAATAGTAACTTATTGGTGGCCATCGAACCTTGAGGAAATGCACAGGATCAAAGAAACATAGAAACATAGAATGTGACGGCAGATAAGAACCATTCAGCCCATCATGGGTCTCTGATCTTGAAATCCATGTGTTTTTAGATGTTCATCAATCCTATCCTTTAACATGGTTTCCATCACTTTCCCCACTACTGAAGTAAGGCTTACTGGCCTATAGTTGCCCGACTCCTCCCTATTACCTTTCTTGTAAATGGGCACAACATTCGCTAACTTCCAATCTTCTGGGACTACTCCTGTTAACAATGATTGGTTAAATAAATCTGTTAATGGTTTTGCTAGTACACCACTAAGCTCTTTTAATAGCTTTGGGTGTATTCCATCAGGTCCCATTGACTTATTTGTCTTTACGTTTGACAGTTGAAATAGAACCTCTTCCTCTGTAAACTCACGTGTAATTAATGATTCATTTATCCTTTTTCTTAACTGAGGTCCCTTTCCTTCATTTTCATCTGTAAATGCAGAACAAAAATATTCATTGAGGCAGTCAGCTAGACCTTTATCCTCTTCTACATACCTTCCTTCTTTTGTTTTTAATCTAACTAATCCTTGTTTTACTTTTCTTTTCTCATTTATGCATCTAAAAAAAAAATTATCCCCTTTTTTTACTGACTGTGCTATTTTTTCTTCTGCGTGTGATTTGGAAGCTCTTATAACTTGCTTAGCCTCTTTCTGCCTAATCTTATAGATCATTTTGTCTTCCTCACTCTTGGTTTTTTTATAATTCCTCAATGCTAACTTTTTGTTTTTAACTATTTTGGCCACATCTGTGGAGTACCACAGAAGTTTCTTGATTTTTTTTGCTTTTACTGACAAGCCTAATGCAATTTTCTGTTGCCTTCAATAGTGCAACTTTTAAATAATCCCATTTCTCTTGGACTCCATTTAAATTGCTCCAGTCTGATAACGACTCCTCTACCCATATTCTAATTTTAGAAAAGTCTGTTTTTCTAAAGTCTAAAACTTTTGTTTTTGTGTGGTGTGACTCAGTCACTGTTCTTATATTAAACCACACTGACTGATGATCACTGGATCCTAAACTTTCACCTACAGTAATATCTGATACCAAATCTCCATTTGTTAACACTAAATCTAGTATGGCCTCTTTACGAGTTGGCTCCTCAACAACTTGTTTTAGAGACAATCCCAGTAGGAAGTTTAGAATATGTGTGCTCCTGGCACAAGTAGCTAATTTTGTTTTCCAATTTACATCAGGAAGATTAAAGTCACCCATGATGATAACTTCCCCCTTCATTGTCATTTTAGCTATTTCCTCAACTAGTAGATTATCTAACTCTTCAATTTGTCCTGGGGGCCTATAAATCACACCTACATGAGTTACTATGTGATTACCAAATTCTAACGTAACCCAAACGGACTCTATGTTTGCCTCACTAACTTTTATTACGCTAGATTTTATGCTATCCTTCACATACAAGGCCACCCCTCCCCCTTTCTTGCCTTCCCTATCTTTCCTATATAAAGAGTACACTGGTATTGCTATGTCCCAGTCATTTTTCTCATTATACCATGTCTCAGTAACAGCGACTAAATCTACACTATCAGTTGCCATTATTGCCACAAGTTCATGGATCTTATTCCCTAAACTGCGAGCATTTGTAGACATGACTCTAAGCTTATCATTTTTTAACACACTTGCTACAGGCACCTTCTGTCCTTGTTTTGGGGGACAATTGGATTGATGTTTTATCACCCTTTTGCCCCCCCCTCCTAGTTTAAATACATCCTAGCAAAACCTCTGAACTGCTCACTGAGAACATTTGTTCCCTTTTGAGAAAGATGCAAACCATCTTTTTTGTACAGCTTATCTCCATTCC